AAAGAAACACATGTCTTTTGCAGCAACATGGATGGAGCTGGAAAAGATCATACTTAGTGAAATAAGCCAGAAAGAAAAGGAAACATACCGGATGGCTTCTCTCATGACAGGAATATAATGGAATAGACGAGAAAATAATGATAATGATGAATAGCTATATACCAGAGACATTTTGTGGGGTTGGAGTGGGGAATGGGATCAAAAACAGTGCATGGAGGGCAATGCACTGGACCATGGTGATGGCACATGGGTGATTTGGTGATGGGAAAGCCAAGGGGATTGCAACTGAGATGGAAAAATTTACAGAAATATGTAACAAAAAACTATTATAAAATTAAAAAAAACTATAGTGAAAGATGCCTTTGGCCCTCTTTGGTGGTGCAGCGGGTTAAAGCACAGCACTGAGAATCTAAAGTCACTTCTGCATGAGTTCGATTCCCGCCTGCCCCGGAGGTGACCACATGGCGCGGCAGACCTCTCCTGACCCACCCGCTGCTCCCTTCAGCAGTATACTTTGTCGATCTGCCTGTTCTATTCCCCACTCTGTCTGTGGTGAAGCCTCTCACCGCCTCTGAGCCTCTGGCCTGTACCCCAGTTCTGTATGCACAAATAAATAAATCTTTAAAAAAAAATATGCCTTCACTTTATTGATAATAAAACAAAATGTAGGCAGTGCAGGCAGACACATTAGTAAATTTTTGCAGCAGTCTAGGTGAAAAGTGCTGAAGGCCTAAATGAAGGCAATGACTAAGCAGTAGAAAGGATAAAGGACACAATGGTTATTTAGGAGGCAGAACACCACAGGACTTAGTGATTGTGTATATAGTTAAGAATGAAGGAAGACATAGTCTATGGTAACTTTGAATTTTCTAAAATGTGTGCTATTATGACTAGAAATGTGGGCCCGGGGTAGACGAGGAGTAAAATGATGATTCCTCTTAAGGCACCTGGAGTGCCCATAGGGTCCAGTTCCCCAAGGAATGATGTCTACAAAAGCCTGTATCACAGGGTCAAGGTCTAAGTAGAACTACAGCTTACTACAAGATGAGCTGCATAAGGGTGAGCTTTATATCAAGTTTATTCACTGGCTCTCTTAGAATACCTGTCAGGTAACCCAATAAAAGTACTGGTCTTCCAGAAAAGTCGTGATGTATTTTTTGTTTTTCAAGCAAAAAATGTGTCATGATTTTTCTGACAACCTAACATTTATTCAATAAATACATCTAGTGATAAAGGCTGTAGGATGTATACTTTACATATGGTTAGAGGAAAAATAAGTGAGGATAGAGGAAGGGGAACTCTAGAAGGCAGCAGAACAAAGAAATGGGAGAAAGGAGAAAATACTAATAGAAAAGGCAAGAACAGATGTTTTTTATGTAGTAAGAAATAAAAAAAGTCAAATAAACAAAGATCTCAAGCAAATCACAGCAGAAAAGATTCACCAGATTAATCAAATGAGAAAACACTGTTATTGTTCTGAAAGTGATTTCATGAAGAATAAGCCAGACTACTCTGAAGAAATCTAGTACTGTAATATTAAAAGAAGTCAACATACTTATTTAATGATGGTAAGGAAAATTAATTTCCCCTCAAAACCGTCATTATTTTCTAGTGGGGAAAGGCAAATCTACTATTTGAAATAAATGAAAAGACAAAAATAGAACTTTAGAAAATATGGTGTCAGTTTCAAATAATTCATATAGTTTCTATTAAATCTTTCTTCTTGAGACTTTATAAAGTGTTTAGTCTTACCTCTTCACCTGGCTGGCCAGTTAATTTTTGTAGTTGTAAAATACTTCCATCAATACTATCTTGAACCCAAATGAAATCTTCATCATCAGTTGTTTCAAACTGTAGTCTTCCAAAAAAAGAAAAAAAAAAAAAAGATAAAAAGTCAAAATCATATCCTTTCCCTATTCGGGTATTAACTAGTATAAAAGGTAGAGGTGACCCTGTTTCACCATCACTTCTCTCTTATGATTAACTGTTCTCTTTCTCTGGGTCAATGTGTTAAGATATTTGGCACATAAATTTTGGTAAAAAATAACACCTGAACATGCGTTAACTTTAAATTTTTAATTTCCCATGTTTGGCTTTCTATTAGTGATGGACAGATCTGTCCAGCTTGTCTAAGAATGAGTGTTCCAAAGTTCACACAGAAAAATCTAACCTGTTAGCAGCTTTTTGGGCTAGATGCTGTATTTTTACAGTCACATGTTGAAGTTTCTGTCTGATCCTTTCTACCTCGTGAGTATAGCCAGTCCTTCCTCCATTCATTTCAATCAGTTTAGGATAGCCCGATCCCTTTGTCTCTCCTTCCATTTTCTGCTGAAGAACCCAATTTCTAGTTCGATCACTGGTTAAACTCCATGTGGTTGGCTGGCAATTTTGAACAGAAAAAGAAAAACCAGTAATTTTAAATAAATAGCATATCAGTGTCTTTCCTAAGAGAACACTTATTTTTTACATTTCATTTGTACATGTGTACTTAAATAATTTAATACAATGTCAAATTGTAAGATCACTATTCTTAAAAAATATTTTAAGACAACATATCAATTTACCTCATTAAGATTCTGATACAGAATTCTTCTATTTTCTCGTTTCTCTTCTCGTTCCAGTTCTTGATTTTGAAATTCTTGCATAATTCCTTGAAGTCGCTTCCCTTCAAGGTCTAACTTATAAACTTGTTGCCTTTTCTCTTCTAGCTGGCGCTGAAGATCTTCCACTTTGGACTGGAGCTCATGCATTTTTTTCTGTCCTTCAGTGTTGGCCTCTTGTTCAGTCTGCAATGTCTTCCTGTGAACCTGCCTATCCTTTTCCATTTGCTGTCTTGTTTGCAAAGAATCCAGTTTATACTTCTCAGTTTCATTTAACAATTCTACTATACGGCTGTGTTTTTCCTCTAGCTGTTTCTGTAACTCTTTAAGAAGGTCCTCAGAAGGTAAGTTGGGTCGAGGATGCCCACTATCATCATTGCTCTGCAGCTGTGCATGCAATTCTCGTTCCCTATCCAGGGTACTACTCATTTCCCGAATTCGTACTTTCTCAGATTCAAGAAGTACTTGAAGTTCTAAGTTTCGACCTCGTTCTTCTGATAACTGTGCATCATGTAGCACTCTTTGTGATTCTATTTTTTCCTGTGATTCATTTAGCAATTGTTTCTGTTGTTCCAAAAGCAGACTCAGCTGAATATTCCGCTGTTTCTGACCCTCAAGTGAAAATTTCAGATCCTTATAGGAGAAAATTGAATTTAAGAACTTGTAAATATTAAACAACTTTGTGAAAATACAGTTATACCTTTATTAATACAAAGTCAGTAGTATTTGCTAATGGAACTGATTATCCAATTTATCAATTTAAATTTTGAGTGGTAACTAAGCACACAATTATTTAGACAGCGTTGATTTTCATCAAAGAATATAAAGAATAGTTTTCTCATTAAACAATAATATATGGGTAAGAAATATGAAGCAGACTACATTTGCAGCAAGGAGTAACACTGTTAAAAAATGCATGTTTTTTGGGGTCTCCCTAGTGGTGCAATTGGTTAAAGCACCGCATTATGAAGCTCTATGAAGCTACTGCAGCACAAGTTCGATTCCCAGCCAGGGAGCTGACCCCTGACCAGCCCGCTGCTACACTCAGCAGTGTATTTCAGTCGATCTGCCTGTTCTGCTCCCCACTCTGTCTCTGGTGAATCCTCTCACCCACCACACCTCTGGCCTGTACCCCAGTTCTGTAAGCATAAATAAATACATCTTAAAAAAAAAAAAAAAGCACGTTACATAAGTTCTTGAAAAAACCTTGTTTTTCAGTAACATATACTAAAAATAATAGGACTTATGGGTAAACAGCAGGATTGGGACAAACTACTCAAAATGTGTACAAATTTTAATGATAAAAAGTAACTAGTACCTGAGATGATAATGTCCCTACAAGCTAGAGAGCTCACTACCACTGTGAATGTTTGAAAGAAAAAAAAAGCCAAGAGATAAAGGGCAAAATTGCTAGCTACACATTTTTTTTTTGGTATAGTGCTAGAGATCGCAAGATTATGTGGATGGTAAAAGAGCTGTGAGACAGTATGGCTAATGTTAAAGTGGGTACTGTGTACTCACTTGCCAGAGCTGTCTTAACTGGAGAGCTGTGCAAGACTTTGGTGTGTATTCTGAGAGGGAACACAGAGTGAAGGGGCTTATTTTAAATTTTATTAAAATACAGCAGCAGGGTTGCTTACTACCAGAGAAGCATCACTGCTCCTCCGTTCCCTAGGAGTAACAGGAATCAAAACTACTGCTTAAACTGACATGATCACCTTATTTATTAAATGTACATGTACTATTCAAATCCCTAAAACATGTTATAGCAGAAAAGTTTGCATGAAATCTTGGTTGTAGCAAAACAAAAGAAAGAAATCACCATACAATTTATCATTTCCTGATAATGCAGTTTAGAGAACAAAGTAGTACTCAAAATAAAGTGAACAACCTATTCTATCTCATAAAAGTTCATATTTTAGAGAGGGAAATATCAAAACGTTCTTTTTTTTCAAGTTAAACTTTCCAGAAACAGTTAAAAACAAAGCTAACAATACTTCAAGACTGAGTTTTCCCGAGACATTTAAAAACAAAGATAATACCTCAAGTTGTTCTTTATCTCGCTCTTCATTGCGTCCCAGTTTGGCTTTCTCTTTCTCCAAAGCCCACTGGAGCTCTCTGGATTTTTTCTGTTCACTTGCTAATGTGTCATTAAGTAAATGTACTTCATCTGTTTTATCTTTAACTTCCAACCTAAATCAGTGAGACAAATGAATTGTTTTGGCGGCATAATTATTATTATTTACCACTACAAATAATTTACTTTTACAAAACAGTATTAGTACAAATTTCCTGTTTTTACAGAACATGGGAGTGACTATGTACATGGAAATCAATGTGTCTACAACTAAATTACTGTAATTCCTTCACTAATACAGACTTATATGTAATAACGATGGCTGGCACACCTGAATGCTTCTAATTCCTTTAGGCGCTTGTGCTGTGCCTTGAGTGTTGTTTCGAGTTCCAGTTTAGTCTGTGCAAGTTCATTTTTCAGTTCAGCAACCACCAGTTTTTCAGAATTCAACTGTTCCTGGAGTTCCGCTGCTCTGTCTTTCACACTGCTGAGCTCTACTTGCATTTCCAGTATTTGAGACTGTTTCTGTTGCATATTATATTCCAAGAGTTCTAAATGGAAAATTATCAATACTTAAAATATTTCTAGCAACTCATATTTGCTTTACAAATATTTTGTTTAGGAGAAAACTATAAAAGATTACAGACCCCAAAGTTATCAACTTATGGTTTATACAATACTGTGTGAAGGAACTTGTAATCTGTTTAGTCAGAATTTCAGTAGCGCACACTTAAAGTTCCAGTTTTATTTATTTATTTATTTATTTATACATATAGAACTGGGGTACAGGCCAGAGATGTGGAGGGTGAGAGGATTCACCAGGGACAAAGCGGGGAGCAGAACAGGCAGATCTACGAAGTACACTGCTGAGGGGA